GAAAGCTATTTTTCTAAAATGTGTCCTGTGGCGGCGATTAAATAGGTTATTTGGACATTTAATCAAATGAGTTTGTTACGAGTGTAATGCCTCTGACTATATGTTCATTCCTAACCCTTTTGAAGGAGGGTTTTAGAATGAAATACATGATTAACTGAAAAATACAATTGTGTTAGACTTGTAGTGAACGTGTTGCACATGGAATCTATAGTCTAACTGAGGAGATTTGCATTACCTCTTTTACAGATTATAATAGATGCCATGAAAGAATACACAACAGCACTAAGTTTAGACTAGGTTTGGAAATGGAGTCAAGGAAGACTTGAAGAAAAAACATTATCCCTGAGACTGAAAGGTTAAATAACAGCAGAATGAAATAAGGGAAGGGGCTACTTTGAGGGAAAAAAGCATGTAGAAGAGCCACGGGCAGGAAGGATGGTGGCCTTTTATTAGGCCATGAGGTAGTCCTGACCAGATCATAGAAGGCCCTGGGAGGAAATCGGCCTTGACTCCATGAGCCTTTAGGAAAAGTCTTTGAAAATTTTAGGAGCAATGTGAATTGGCTTTAGTTTTTTGTTGTTGTTTTTTTTTTGTTTTGTTTTTTGTTTTTTTAAGGGATATGAAAGATCGATTATAAGACCTCTTTCCCAGAGTGTAGATGGTCTGTGCCTGCTCAGTAATGGCTCAAGCACCCAGTCCTGAATCCTGTTTGGACCACATGCTTGCATCTCATGCCAAGAAGCTGAGGTCACAGCTTTACCTTCCTGTCCCAAAGAGCCCTCTCCTGAGGATTCTGACATGCATGTTTATAGAGTAGGACCTTCTCTATGTGGGAAGGAAGGGCTCATTCCTGATGGATTCCTGACTTGATTTTATGATTTTTCCTGTTGTTGAACAGTAAATTTGTTGCAAACGTTTGCTGCCATAAAACTGCAATGACTACTTTTATATTCTTACCAATTTTGAGCAGATTTAATCCTCGTAGGGCAGAGTTAATTTCAAATACTTTTCAGCAGTTATCCAATGAGAAGTACTAGTTATATCACTGCCTTCCTAGTCTGTTTTTTAAATTCTTATTATTCATAATTCTATGTAGGTATGTGTGTCTGCATGTTAGTGGGTATGTGCACATGAGTGCAGGCGCCCACGGCAGCCAGAGTTGTCAGCTTCCTTGGAGCTGGAGTTTCAGTCGTGCTAGGAACAGAACTTAGGTCCTCTGGAAGAGCAGCAAGTGCTCTTAACCACTGAGCCATCTCCTTCCTTGTCTTTTAGCATCTGTTCATTTCAAGAGTCTCCTTGGGGCTGGCAAGATGGCTCAGCAGGTAAAGGTGTCTGCCGCCAAGCCTGATGACCTGATTTCAGCCTTCAGGACCCACATTGTCAAAGGGAAGAGTGGACTCTGACCCTCACAAGTACACTGAGGCAAATGCACACCTACACACACACACACACACACACACACACACACACACAAATGTAATTTAAAAATATCCCTATGCTTTGATTTGAATCTCTGCATGGTGACAAGGCATGTAATGCATTTATTATTAATGCTTATGTTTGCCTTCTTTGTCTAACCTTACATTTTTCCCCTACATGGGGTAACCATAAAGGGAAAAAAAAGAGGGACACATTTAAAATTGATGCTTTTTATTATTTTAGAACCAAATAAGTGTCCAAAAATGCATGTCAGACAGGTCCCAGAAAATGCCTGCCATCTTGGCCCATTTGACTTTTTGTGCTGGCTGAAGGGAAGAGTCGCCTCTGAAGAGTGCTTGTCCCTGTGGGGGGGTGTGAGTAAAGCTAAGAGGTGCCCTGTTCAGATCAGAAGATGCTGTGATTAGGGACTCTGATCCCCAGCTCAACCACCTGGAACAAGGCGTGTTCCACCTTTTTGATGGCCTCCTCACTGAGAGGAACAACCCAAGGAAAGAGGGAGGGCAAAAGGCAGCTATGACCCTAGCATCAGGAACAGCAGTTTGCGATTTCATGGCTGTTTCCCAAGTCACATTGATAGCACTCAATATATCAGTTGGCCCACGTCATGATGCTCCCAAAGGTATGAAATAACTTGTAGGACAATCCTAGGTGGCCGAGTTTAGGCTGGAGACTGACACACAATTCATCAGATCTGGAAGATCAGAATAGGAAGGGGCTCTTGGGCTAGGGCTGTAGCCAATAAGCCAACCAGTGCCCAGAAAGAAAAATAGTGTTTCCCCAAAGTTTAGGAGTATTTCCCAACTCACTTTCCGAGTTAGAAGCCTCATTCCACCTGCAGAGGCTGTGATAGGAGGATCCAGAGTTTGAGGCAAGCTGGAGCTACAGAGGAAGACCCTGGGAGGTTTCGGTTGGTTGGTTTTGTTTTAATTTAGGCAGCCGGTTCCCATAAGATGGATGAGCTGCCTTATATCAAGATTATGCAAAAGCAAAGTAGTAAGGGGTGAAGGGAGCCACAAGGCAACTTTGGCAGAGTGGGCATCCCTGTGAGAATTGTAATAAGATCCCTGGCCTTGCTAAGTTTGGAGCCTCCTAAAATGATCCAAGGTCGACCTAGCTAACTTTGCTGGCCGAGAAGGAACAACAGGTTAACAGATTGTCAGGCAGTGGCGTGTAATGGAGACCAGTAGATTAAAAAAACACCTCACACTGACCATGGCAGTGACAACCTTCCTGGTTGTTTTCCACATCAAAACACCTGGGATTCCCTTCCTTCCCTGTCACCTAGGCAGGTGGCTCCTGACCTTTCAGATTTAAACTATCACGCCCTTGAGTACACTTGCTCTCCTGTTCCAGGTTGAAACTCCCCCCAGCACCCTATTTAGTTCATGACAAGTGTGACCACTTCATGGTTAAGATTTACCACCCACCAGACTGGAAGCATGTGGGAGCAGCGGTCGTGTGTGTGTGTGTGTGTGTGTGTGTGTGTGTGTGTGTGTGTGTGTGTGTGTGTGTGTGTTGCTTACCAGTGTCGGTCACGATTCAGTCTAACACCTGACAAGAACAGGACACATAACATGAACTCAGTACTCACTGACAATAACTAGTAAAAGGCATTTTCATTCTGATACAGAGTGAGTTGTCTGACTGTCCCAAGCCATTCAAAACAATAGGAAGAGCCAGGGCAAGCTCTACCCGGCCATGACCCTTGGCCCTCCTCTTGTTTGCTCCTGAACATAAAAGTAACCTGCTGGGTTCGCTTTAACAGGGAAGTCAAGTGCCTGAGTGGATCACCTAGTGTTTCACTTTCAGAAAGCAGAATGGCTTGGTGACATCCCCAGACAACCAAAGGTGCAGGAGCTGCTTCCATGGAAGAGGCCCTGCTCTGGACACCACTCCTGCCCCAGGGGCAACAACTCTCCCCTCCACCCCATTTTGTTTTGTCTTATTTACTTTTGATTTTTTCAGACAGCCTCTCTACAGAGCCCTGGCTGTCCTGGAACTCACTCTGTAGACCAGGCTGTCCTTAACCCAGAGATCCACCTGCCCTACCTCTTCCTATGTATGGGTGTTTCGCTTGCATGTATGTCTGTGCACCAGTGCATGCCTAGTACACACAGAGGCCAGAACAGGGCATCTGTTCCTTTGGAACTAGAATTACAGGAGGTTGCAAGCCATCATGTGAGTGCTGGGAATTGAACCCCAGTTTTCTGAAAGGGCAGCCAACGCTCTTAACACTGAGCCATCCTTCACCCCTCCACCCATTTTTAGAAGGGGACCTCACTCTCTGTTGCCCAGGTTGAAATTCCTGAGCTCGGTGACCCACCCCCATATGCTGGGTCTGCAGGTGTGCAGCGCCTCACCCAGCCACCAGGCCCCTTCTGATTACCATGTGCAAGGGTCCAGCGGAAGGATGTTCACTGTCCCTGGCATGTGGTGCTTTCCAGAGAGGAGCTCCCAGCATCGAGAAGCCCCTAGACAGCAGCTGGGACTCACGTCGAGGCAGAACGTGACACTTGACAATGGTCCACAGATGAAGAGCCCTGGGTGGCTCACCTTGGGTTTCTCCAGATAGCCCTCCGTGGTGTAAGGGAAAGTTAGCTCGCTAGTTCCCCAGCCCTGTATTTAAATGTGTCTGATTAAATTAAATGAGTCTGATTCTGACAAGGAACTTGGTCTTACAGGAATAGATCATTTCCTGAGGGAGTGGCTGGGTAGCCAGATGGATCCTCAGAAAGATAAAGGCGGGTGAAAGAAAAGGATGTCTTAAAACAACAACAACAACGAAGACAGGGTCTCACTATGTAGCCCTCCCTGGCACAGAACTAGCGCCACTGACCAGGCTGGCCTTGAACTCAGAGACCCATCTGCCTCTGCCTCCCAAGTGCTGGGATTCAAGTTGTTCACCATGCCTGACTACTTCTATGCTTGTGAATCTTTAAATTTTGAGTTAGATTAGGTATTACCTCATTAAAACGTTTGAATTTAAATAAACTGAGCATGTTGCTATCTTCCAAGTGAAGATGGGAAACGAGGTATAGTGGCACACACCTTTAGTCCCAGCATTCAAGAGGCAGGCAGATCTGTGTGAGGCCAGCCTAGTCTACATGGAGTTCCAAGATAGCCAGGACTCATAGAAATGCCCTGTCTTCTAGCCTGGGCTACCAAGTGAGTTCCAGGAAAGGCGCAAAGCTACACAGAGAAACCCTGTCTCGAAAAAACCAAAAAAAAAAAAAAAAAAAAAAAAAAGAAATGCCCTGTCTTAAAAAAACAAACAAACAAAAAAAACCACGGAAGGATGGGAGAGGGGAGAGGGGGTCCCTCTTGGCCTCAGGGCAGCATGTGTAAGTCTGACCTAGTACCCTGTGACATTTAACTATGTGCTTGCAAATGACTTTGAGATCTCGGGGAAACTCTATGTGGGTAGGAGTAGGGAGAGGCTTGCAACCTTACATTTTTTGTCAGGCTCTCTCGAGAGTGGTCCATGGACCCCACTTCAAAGCTCAAGCTCCATGGAATGACATGCAGTGGGAAGGAACTAGACACACAGGTCAGGGACAACCTTTCAGTGAAAGTCATCCTTTATCTCATTAGCACTTCAAGGCTCAACTTCTGAGAGCAGGAAGTCAATCAGGGACTCCCAGAGCCCCCCCCCACCCCCCCCACCCCCAAAACAGTACGAGCTAAACTGCACAGGCAAGTCCCTCTCTCACCTGGGCAAGTCGGTTTCCCAGAGCTACCCTAGGCTGCGGGTGGGGGCTAGAACAGGCGATTGGCTTACCTGCCTTCCCTCCCAAATCTTGCCTGGGAGACCCTTAAGTCTTTTCCAGGTGCCTCCTTGGCTACCTTTAAATTTTACATCTGGGGGTGGGGCTAAATGTCCCCTGGATGTCATCCAGCAGCTTTTTCTGAGCAGCCATCATTCTCTGCAGAGACTTGTCAGGAGTCTTGGCTAGAGGCTGGAGGAAGGCCAGGCTGTCTGGGCTAGCTGATGTCTCTGGAGAGAGTTACATGTGTACCCCTACCCTGGGGCCAGGTCAGCAGCTTGTTTAAGCCTCTCAGATAGGACTAAAGTGCAGCATGCACCCATAGATGTGGACTGCCTGTACGAATAAATGAATGTTCGGCTGGGTTCAGAGACGGGGCATGTAAATATTCTCCTACCCCTGAAGCCCCTGGCCTGCCCCTTCCCTGCGGGCCTGCCCCAGGGCCTCCTTTCTGCATCTGAGCCACTCTGGCCATCCAGGAGGCTCCCCTCCACACAATAAAAAACTTCCAGCAGGATCCCACCCAAGCTGGGTGGGGTTGGTGGGCCTGTTCCCAGAAGCCCCATCCTGAGCAAGCACCAAGATGCCTCTTCCCAGTTCAGAGCTGTGGTCTGTCCTGGCCCCATTAGCTTGAATCGGTTCTCTGCCAAGAGCACTGGCTACGTCTGCACCGTTTGCAAGTTCTGTGGCTGCTTCACATTCAGGATGGCTTTCTCCTGGAGGCCGGCCCTTGGGGGAGGGGTGCACACAGAAGGCAGAGAGAGGGCTGTCAGGAACACTTTCAGGCATGGCCTTTCTGAGGCAGAGTACGCGGCAGTCGGCAGTCGCAGCCTCTCTCTGGCAGTGAGCAGGCAGGCACAGCCGAGGAGAAACACTGTCCCAGAGGCAGCTCGGATGCACGACGATGTTCACGCTGAGGACTGGGAAGCTCAGGATCTCCCACAGCAATAGGAGGCTGTGCTAGACAAGCAAGGTGGACCTGCAGGTAAGGGGCTCAGGTGGGTGACAGGCAGTGACAGCTCAGGGGACAGCTAGGCTTCGGATCCCTCAGTCCGGTCCCCCTGCTGCAGCCCTCAGCCTCCACCTTTCTCTCTTCTGTTCCATCCCAGGGAATTTCTTCTCAGCTCACCCCACATGACCCAGCTCCCAGCAGGAGGCTACCCAACCTTAGCAAAGAGTGAAAACTGGGGGCCCGAGAGAAAGACCATCCTAGGCCTGGGAACACCCTCTGAAGTGAATCCCAAGCAGCCAGCCCCCTCTACAGAAGCCAGGCCCTGGCCAGCTGTCCCACAGGCCCTTACCTGACAGGCTCAAAGAGCTCCTGGCAGTTGCTATTCTGCTTCCTGCCACTCGGGGCCAGCTCTTGGGGGTGCTCATTCTGCTGAACCCCTTCTGGAGGCTTGTCCTCTGGCAGCTCCTGCTCGATCTCATTGGCCTCAAGCTCAACATTGGCTTCCTCCTCCTGACCCCTGGAGAAGACACGGCCACAAGCTTCTTGGGGTGCTGTCAGAGACTTGCACTCCCAGCTGGGCCACTCTTTCCTCCGGCAGAGCAGCCTGTGGCCAGGTGGGGCCGTACCAGCTGGGTTCAGGCTGCCCTGGGCAGCCCAGACAGATCACACAGGTCCACGCGGCACCCACAGTCCAGGTTGCTGGCACTGAGGAAGCACATGCTGCCTGACCCAATTTCTCACTCTGGACCCAGCTCCTCCAAAATGCCTCCTCCAAGGGCAAGGCCAGAACCCCTTTCCCTTCCTGTCACCCCAGACCCAGCACCCTCCCATGCTGTGTTCTGTGTTCCGATGCTAAGAGCACATACACACACATGCACACGTATCTTCCTTCGACCCCAGGCATCTGTCTAGAACCAAGTCCATTTTGAATAAGCCAGTGTCCTCATCTCGAAGCTGGAGACACTGAGGCTCAAGGAGTCATGGGGCTTGTCTAACATCATCCACTAAGATAGATCCTGTAAAAATATCTTCTGCCCTGTGACCCGGGGGCGGGGGGGGGGGGGGGGGGGGGGGGGGGGGGGGGGGGGGGCGCGGGCGTCTTCTTCCCCAGGTCTTCTGAGCCAAGTCCGGTCTTGTGAAGCAGGGTACACATAGCATACCACCTACACACCCCAACCCAGGACCAGCTTAGATGAGGCTCTAGGCAGGGGCTGGGGGTGCTCCTTGGGCTTCAGAGAGGAAGAATAACTTACCTCACTTTCTCAAACTTCTTGTCTCGGTAAAACTCGCTCTTTCTGATGAGGTAGATAAGTACCAGGTCACAGAAGAAAGCCCCCTGCAAAAGAGTTCGATTCAGAATCCTAGCTTCATAATGCTTGGAGCCTGCGGCAACTCAGGAGCAGGGGACCACCTGAACATGGAAGACACAGCCCAGAAAGGGGTGATGTCCACGAACACAAAGCCATTCCGTGGTAGACACAGGTTAGATCTGGGCTTCCTGCCTCACTCCATGGATCAAGCTCCTCTCACTAAGAATCTACCACCTGCCAGGTTTGCACTAGGGTGCCAGAGGATGTGGACCACAGAACTGGGGATCCCCTGGGCTGCAGGAGACAAGTGGATTGTGATATAGAACCATCAGTCCTACGATGCGAACAGGATTGGGAGCAGGTGGGAAAAGCATTCACTCAGCCTGGGGAGCTCAACTGGAGGCCTGGAATTGCATGGCAGAGGGAGAAGCAGACTTGTCATCACCAATAAATGCCTAGGGCCTGTGGGGCAAGAGCAAAAGTGGGAGCGAGAACCAGCGTGTTGTCTGAGAATGCTTTTGAGACATTGGCCCTAGTCCTTCGTGGGGAGGCATGGCAGCGGCAGTTGTGATCGTTTGGAAAGAGCCCTCTGATAGCCAGGGGAAGATGGGCTGGCGGGCATCTTAACCTCGACAACAGGGACGCTGCAGCTACGGTCAGGAAAAGACAGGAAGCCTGAGCAGACCCAGTTGGGCAGACTAATCACCCCTGAACACAGGCTTCAGATCAGAGCACGTTGTGTGTAATTCCTGTCTTCTCCAGCAGAGGGCGACTTGCCCTATAGCGCAGGAATAGAGGTGTTTCTGAAAGCAGAGGAAGGGCCTGAGTAGAGCGTGCATGTCTTCCCCAGACTCCAGAAATGTCATTTATCGATTCCTTGCTCCTACTTCTTTCCTCAGCCTTCACTGCATTATTGCCTTTTGCTGCATTATTGCCTTCATTTCACAGCTGTGTGTCGGACTTCCAGACTTTACCTACAGAGTATGAGAGCTACGCATGTGCACAGCGGATCCCTAATGATGACGGCCTGAGTCAGAAACATTCCACTTGGGGACCACTATTTTGGTTTGGTTTGGTTTGGTTTGGTTTGGTTTGGTTTGGTTTGGTTAGGTTTGGTTAGGTTTGGTTAGGTTTGGTTAGGTTTGGTTAGGTTTGGTTAGGTTTGATTAGGTTTGGTTTGGTTTGGCTTGGTTTGGTTTGGCTTGGTTTGGTTTGGTTAGGTTAGGTTTGGTTAGGTTTGGTTGTTTTGTGTTGTGTTGTGTTTTTTATTTTGTTTTGTTTTGTTTTTTGAGACCATGTTTCTCTGTGTAGCCCTGGCTGTCCTGGAACTTGCTCAGTAGACCAGGCTGGCCTCAAACTAGAGAGATCCCCTTGCCTCTGCCTCTTGAGGGCTGGGATTAATGCACTGCCCATCATTAAGGATCATGCTTTTTTTTTTAAGATTTATTTTATTTATTACATATAGTGTTCTGTGTGCATGTTTGCCTACATGCCAGAAGACAGTGCAAAGTCTATCCTGTCTATCCCGGGTCCTGACAGAATCCTCTAGTGGCTTCTTGGGCTGCCCAGGGAGAGGAGAGAAGAGGCCTCTGGGAGGGAACTTGCCGTGTCGTTGACGTGAGCCCCCAGTGACTCCCACACTCCCACCTTTAACCTCCTCCCAGAAGTACCGAGGGTGTGACCGGCATTTGCAGGAAGTCCTTCCCTGGACTCCAGCCATTTCCTACCATGGAAGCCACTATGGGTGGCTAAACACCTACCCCAAAGGATTACAAGACTGTCTCCCCTGTTTTATTTATTGACCAATCAGAACAATTTGACATACAGACCATCCCACAGCACTTCCCCTTTTCTTTTTTTAAAAAGGAAGGTTTTAGCTTTTTTTCGGGAAGCTAGGACCACTGCAGGAGGAAGGGTGAGATTTTAGCTCTGAGCTCTGATCTCTTGGCTTTCTCTTTTACATTGGTTCTGTGTTTCTTATTTAATAAGACGGTTGGTTACATCTACATCTCATCCTTTCAAATGCAGGCTCTCAGATGGAGACCATGTTTGAGCAACCTAGCTGTGGGGAGGTCCCACTGACACCTGGTGAATAAAGACCAGGAAGTCACTTAAACACATTCCACAGGTAAAGCAAAAAGACGCCCTGGCCCCAGATGTCAACAGTGCTCAAAAGTGGCATAGCCTAATCAGTTTCCCATTACCAGAACTGGAGATGGAGAATTTTAGACCTAGAATCCCAAAGATTCCAGCCCACACCAGGACTGGAGGACCATCTCTCTGCGCCACACTCCACTCAAGCTCACACATAGTCAGAGCTACAGGCAGTCAGTGTCCTCTGGGGGAGCTGGCCGAGTGTGACCTCACAGCCCCTCCTGTGTTCTGGACTCAGCATGTTCCTCCCAGGCAGTTAGTTACCTCCCTTTCCCTAGGAAGCCAGCAAGGCGGAGGAGGTACTCACAGCACCCATGAGCGCCAACCCAGAACCTATGTTGATGACTGTAGGGATGATGCTGAACTTTCCTGCCTGTGAAACAGAAACCGCCAGGTGAGTAAGGCAGGGTGGACCACTGGATCCCCAATGGGCACTCCAACCTCCCTGACCCAGCAACCACCAGGCCCTGGAATGGGAAGAAGATCTACATACCTTGCCATTAACTATCACATCAAAGCGGATGCCATAGGCTTTCATCAGGTCACGGAACTCTACCCCATTAGCATCACGGTAATACCTGGCAAACCTGGGGAGACAGGGCCCCGGAGACGCTCGTCTGCCTCGACCTTTTCTCCATTGCAGCACAAAGTGGCTGCTTTGGGAAATTCTCAGCAATCCAGGGTCCTAGAGCAGTTCTAGGAGTGTGTGCCCAGAACTGAGGCTCGCACAAAGACAGGGTTTTCCCAGGGTGCTCCGTGCCAGCCCCTGGACCACGAGAACACTGGTGGGCTTGACCGGCAGAGAACACAGAGTAGAGCCAAGGTCTCCAGGCAGCACAGAAACAGCACTTACCTGAAGTTGTACCCAGAGGAGATGGACTTGGTGTGCTTGTTGTCCAGACGGTTGAAGTAATAGTGTGGGTTACATTTCGAGGGAGCTTTATCAAGGTCACAGTCCCATTCGATATGGATTCCTATCACACCACCCTTGACACAAGAAACAGGGCGAATGCTAGAGTTGTCTGCAGATGGACAGAAGTCACGGGGCAGCCCTTTATGAGAGCCAGACAAGTTGGCCAGAGGTCAGCTACCTGGGCTGGCCTGACCACACTTTACACACAAATCAACATGTGTCCATGGGGTTCCGTTCAACTGCTTCTGATGGTGTTCTGGAGTCAGAGAAGTACCCAGCAGGTGCCAGGTCAGCCCCACCCACCCACGTGTCCTCACTGAGTGCCTGATAGAGCCAGGCCATTTGTCACAACTAATTCTGAAAATAGTAAGCTCCTGGGAACAAGTGACTCTGCAGGGCCACCCCAGACCTGATGCCCCTCCACCCTCTCCTTCTCACTGCAGAGGCCAGGTTCCCGGGGAGAGCTGCCTGAACCACACACCACCCACCTTCAGGGCTATATCCTGGAAGTCAGCCCCTGCCCAGCGGACAACGGACCCCAGTCGGAAGATGGGACAGTAGAGATTCTTGGAGCTGAAGTGACAGGTTTTCAGGAAATTTTTGTTGCTTGTTTCTAGCACATTGGCTCTAAGAGGAAGCCATGATGGGAGGGTGAGACGTTTTGTCGCCGGGCCAGACCCAGGAGGCAATGGGCCCTTTGCCAGATATGACCGTATCTTAGTCCCCTCAAAAACAGAGCCCACCCCCTGAGCAGAGAAAAGGGCACCCCTGTTCATGCATGTATGTATACACACCGTGCACAGCTTGGGTGAGGCCACAGGGAGGGCCCTCAGCCCACCTCCCCATCCAGGAGCCAAGCCCCACCTACTTGGAGAAGTTGAACTTGGGGAAGCGGATGAAGTTCTTTATGAAAATGGTGAAGCCTTCAGCATCCTTCAGGAGGGGATCCCTGAAAACCAGGCCAGGGCAGCCTGAGCAGGAGAACTGCCCCTGCCCTCTATGACTCCCCTAGACCTATGGCATGGGCAGGCCTCTGGCCTCAGGTAGGACCCACTGTGTAAGACTGTGTAGGCAACTCCTCTAGGACCACAGGCCGGGGCCACTCACGTGGGCGAGGACATTGTCTCCACTGGGCACCAAGCGAAGATCTCACAGGTGCCCTGGGTAGAGTTCCCCACCCGTAGACAGCGACCAGTTTTCAGTCCTGCGGGGGAGGCACAGGAACAATGCCATGGACCTTCCCGTCCAGGTTTCTTTGCCCTGCTCCAGCCCCAGCCGCTCCAGGCCCTCACCATGTCCAGCTACAACAGATTCCCCAGCATGGCAGTCAGAGTCCTCGAAACACTCGCCATCAGGGATGCCTTCACGCTGCAAGAAAAGAAACGCATCTGCCAGGGGTCCCATCAGAGACAGAAAGGGGCTTCTTCCCCAGCCTGAGGCCACATGCCCTTTGCAAATCTATTTCTCAGGCTGGCAAAGTGACTCAGTTGGGGGAGAACATCTACCATGAAAGCCAGGCAGCCTGGGGACCATGGTGAGAGGAGAGAACCAACTCCTAAAAGTTGTTCTCTGACCTCCACACACATGCCATGGCATGCACATGCACACACACGCACACGTACACGCACACTCACACATGCGCACACACATGCAAGTAGGCAGTAATAATAAATGAAAATGTAAAACTTAAAAAATTTAAGAAAACCCATCTCTCCCCGAAACCGCGTGGGCACCATGCAGCATTTATAAATACCAAACCAAGCCCCTGCTGCAGGAGGACTGTGACCACAGCTGGGGCCTTTCCAACCCCTCCCCAACACACACGCCAAGTCAAACCTCAGCACAGATGCCCTGCCGCTGGTTAGGAGTCACGATCAGGTTGGTGACCACGAAGAAAACGTTCTCCCCCTGAGGAGCCAGACAGAGTTTGAGGAATCTCCTCCTGGCCTCTCGGGGAAGAGTCAGCCAGGTGAGAGTGGACCTCTGCATGGGGTTGGGAACAATGGGGACCACAAAACTGGGGGTCGTTGTCCATCTGTCTGATGAGCCCACACTTTCCAAGTGGATATCCTTTGGTGGGTAACTTATAGCTTTGCAATCCCCAAGCTCTCTCACCCCATAATTCTGTCCTGTCCTCAGCCTGGTTCTACACCAGGGCAGCCATGAACAAGCTGGGGAGCTATTCCCAGGGGCACTGTGCCAGGTCACTCTGGCCCCATGTAGTCTCAACAGACACATAGATCACTGAGGACAAGAGAAGTCAGGCCTGGTGCAGAAAAGGAGGCAGGGAAATCATGCAGGGTTTCTGTCTGTATCCCCAACCAGAGAGACTATTGATGGAGTTGCCTGGGTACTTCCTGTGTGACCCACCCCAAGCCACACCTCACCAGCCCAGGTCCTGCATGGTGATCTGACCTGAGACGGGATGACAAAGTCCGCTACATCCCAGAGCCGTTCCCCAAGCATGGTGGTATTGGTGTAGGCCACACCCTTGACTTTGGTGACCACAGCACTCTGCAGGGAAGTGTCAATATCCTGGTAACTCTTCTTAATCAGAAACACCCATCTGTAGAAATAGGGCCAACGGTGGACATCATCACAGGGCTACCCAGGCCAGGCTGGGGTGAGAAGCATAGTAAGTCCTGGGCTGGTGGCATTGAGAGATCAGGATTCACCTGTCCCACAAGCATGCGTTACTGCACTCAAGCAGGAAGATAGACAGTTGAAGGCTGACCTGGGCTACAGGATGAGACACTACCTTTTAAAACAAAATCTGACGCTGGAGAGTTGGCTTAGTGGTTAAGAGCACTTGATGCTCTTGCAGAGGATCCCTTTTCCATTCCAGGCACCCACTCGGTGGCTCATAACCATCTGTAACTACAGTCCCAGCTCTGACCTCCTCAAGGACAGAGACCAGGCACACATATGGTGCACAGGCATACATGCAGGTAAAACATTCACATCCATAAAAATAATAAAATTAGTATCTCTAAAAAAAAAAAAAAGAAAGAAAAAGAAAAGAAATTGCCAGGTGTGTAGTGGCACACACCTTGAATCCCACCACTTAGGAGGTAGAGGCAGGTGGATCTCTGAGTTCAAGGCCAGCCTGGTCTACAAAGTAAGTTCCAGGACAGCCAGGGCTACACAGAGAAACCCCTGTCTCAAAAAACAAAACAAGGCTGGGCAGTGGTGGTGCACACCTTTAATCCCAGTACTCAGGAGGCAGAGGCAGGCAGATCTCAGTGAGTTCAAGGCCAACCTGGCCTACAGAGTGAGATCCAGGAAAGGCTCTAAAGCTACACAGAGAAACCAGTGTCTCAAGAAACCAAAAACAAAACAAAATACCAAAGGTGGGGGAGAAAAGAAATAAGGAAATCCAAGCAGGAGATACTAGTAGAGGGTTTTCCTAGCATGTGTAAGGCCTTGGGTTTTGCATGAAAAACAAGTAAATCAAAAATAAACAGTGAGCCAGGTGGTAGTGGCACACACCTTTAATCCCAGCACTCAGGAGGCAAAGGCAGGGGGATCTCAGTGAGTTTGAGGCCAGCCTGGACTACAAAGTGAGTTCCAGGATAGCCAGGACTGTTGCACAGAGAAACTCTTTCTCAAAATAAATAAATAAATAAATAAATAAATAAATAAATAAATAAATAAATAAATAAATAAAAAGTAGATAAATGAAATCTCATATTCTTATATACTAAAAACATAAGCAAGCCAGCAAGACCAGGAGATAAAAGCTCTTGCCTCTGAGGTTGATGTTCTGAGTTTGATCCACACACACGGTGGAAGGAGAGAACAGACTCCCACATGTGTGCCATGCCACATGCTTGCCCACACACATACACAATAAATAGAGTAATAAAAATAGTAAAAGGCTGAAGAGATGGCCCAGTGGCTAAGAGTACTTACTGCTCTTGCAGAGGACCTGGGTTCAGTTCTCAGCACCCACATCAGGTTATTCATAAACCCCTGTAACTAACTCAAGACCCAGGGGACCTGACACCCTCTGACCTCCATGGGCACCTGCACATGCATCCTCATACACACAAATAAAATTAATGTAAAAAAAAATGAACCAGCAAAACCAAACCGAAGCAACAAAGAAGTGTGGTCTCCTGAAATTAAAAATGTTTGCACATCAAAGGACACTATCCTGAAAGTGTAGCTCAGGCTGGCCTCAGCTCACAGCAATCCTCCAACCTCAGCCCCTCGAGGGTTAAAATTATAGGTGTGTGCCCATCACACCTTTCTAAAAAGGTAAATATGCTTAAATTGTATGCATGTGCTTGTGTGTGCTCATGAGTTCCGGTACCCTTGGAAGCCAGAAGACGGAGTCAGATCCTCTGGAGCTGGAGTTACAGGGGTTGTGAGCCAATCAGCCAGGAACTGAACTCCTAAAAGAACAGCAAACACTCTTAACCACCTAGACATTGCTCCGGCCCCTAAGAAGATATACTTTTTAAATGAGATGGCCCTTGTCAAATGCTAAGCACAGTGAGCCTGACACAGAGCAAAAGCTCCATGCACAGAACTCACCAGCTTATTGCTGTAGTTAGATATCCAGCTAAACCCCTCTTGGTGAGGCTGGGGAAATCAGTCAAAAGAGGAAGAAGCCAGCTTAGGGTTAGGGTTACAGGTTAGTCATGCAGTGAGTGGCGTGGTAGGCTGGCTCTCTCCAGGGAGTCAGGGAGGTGTCAACCCACTCTGTCCACTTCCTCATTTCCAGGGCAGAGGTAGGGAAGCCTCAACCCTAAGCTATCACATTTTCAAGGAGCTCTGAGAAAGTAGTGATTCTTGAGCAAGGCTTCCATTTTAGCAGAGAAATGCCAGGCCTGGGCCAATCCAAAACAGTAAGCAAATATTCAGCATTTGTTTATTCATTTCGTACCTATTCCCAAGTGAAGTGACACCAGTCCCTCCCATCATGGCATCCCCAAGACTGCAAGGAGATAGAAATAGACACTGAGCAAATGACTACTCAAGTTGGCCATGGGAATGCCAGGGAGGGACAGGGAAGGAGTCATCAGAGCCCTCAAACCTGGACAAGGAGTGGTGCCGCCGAGTAGGGAAGGAAGGACCGTGGTGGCTGAGGAAAGGCAGTCCAAAGACCCTGCCAAGTGTCTTGGTGCTAAAATCCAGGAAACGCTAAGAAATCAGCTATTATCTGCGCCTTTAGTCCCAGCACACGGGAGGAAGGGGCAGGCAGATTTCTGAGTTTGAAGCTAGCCGACTCTACAGAGCAGTCCCAGAACAGCTAGGGCTACACAGAGAAACCCTGTCTCAAAAAACAAAACAAAAACACAAAAACCAAAAAGAAGAAAGGGGGTAGGGACGCAGCCATTGGAAGGCAGCAAGGCTAGGTCAGGACTGCCCTCCCAGGAGCAATCACTGCACACCATTTATTGGAAAACAGAGTGAAAAGCCGCTGTTCTCAGTGGCTGCCGCCCTCCACCTGTGTCTTCTCTTCCTAGGAGCAAGGGAGGGCACCACCAAGGAATAGCTGTTAAACCTCCAACAAGCTGCCCCTGGGCTGGTGGGTCCACATCCTGCTAGGTGAGGAGACGGTAACAGCGGGACAGTGGAGCAGCTGGACACTGGAGAGGCCGCCCGCCTTTCCCGTGAGCTAACCCTGAGTTCCAGAACATGCCAATCTGATGAGTTGGCCGGACCAGGAGTAAGCCAGTGATGCTCCGTGCTTATAAATAACCTGCTGGGTGCCCGGGCCAGCTGTCAGGCCAGAGCCCAGGGAGGCCTCTGGGGGCAGCTGAGCCCAAAGTCCTGGCATCCCTACCTCCTGGCCATGACTGTAACACTGGGCGCTCCAGTCGTGGGAGAAGGAAGGGGCTCTCTACAAATAGCTTCAAACCAAGGTACCCAGTCGCCCCTCCCACGTTTCTCAAAACATAGTGTTCACGTTTCACCTTCCCAACCTTACATCCAAGGGCCCAGGAGGGCCGCCTCCCTAAGGCCCCTGTCTCTACACCTTCCCCTCCCCATGCCCCTGGCTTCCAAAAAGTGCCCGAAGACTCACATGAGCAAGTACAACAGGATGGAGAGCTGCAGCACCCGGTAGAGCAGCCCCACCTTCTTGCTCTTGGCGACCACGAACTTTGCGGTTTTGTAGTCGAACAGCGACAGGGCGAACCCCTTCCAGGCCGCCTGGCCCATGCCTCCGGCTCACTCCGGCCGCCGCCGCCTCCTGCCGCCCGGCGGCCAGCCGAGCACTCTGCGTGCGCTGCCGCAGTCCCGGACGCGCGGCTCCAAAGGGCGTGAGCCGGAGGGCGGGCGCACAGACCCGGGCGGCCGAGAGGACCCCGCCACCGCCGCCGCTGCCGCCGCGGGGAGCCGGACTGCGGCGAGCGCCCAGCCTGGGATGCGGCCACCTCCACTGACACGGTGACACCACCGAGCTGTGCCTCCGGCCACTGGCCTGCAAGGACGCGCGCACCGAGTGCGGAGGCGAGGAAGGAGAGAAGGTGCTTTCCAAGGCGTCTCTCCCGCCCCTACCTCCTCCCATGGGACTCGGTCAAGGGGAACCGGCTGGGGAAACAGAGGCAGGATCCCGGAGGAACCACTAGTAATGACTGGTTTGCCCGATTGCCCTGGACTCGATACTCACGCTGTCAGACAGCTTGTAGGTCCCTGGCCGCCTGTGTCTGCGGTTATCAAGGGGGCGTTTTCCAGACTTCTGCGACTGCGGCTTTAAATCCAACATGTTACCGGTGTCAGGGACCAGCAGTCCCAGTCGGGTACGGTGGCGTAGGGAGAGCCAGGGCACTAAGGCTTTGGGGGCCTAAAACATGCTTAGAGACAGAATAGTTACCCCACCCCACCCCAAAAAAAAACCTGGGCTCAATGCCATCCTTTGAGGCTGAACCAAACAGGGAGGGAGAAGAGGTCCCTTGGAAGTGAGCTTTGGAACTGGTGTGGACTGGGTGAGCTGTGGTGAAGGGCTGTATTGATGAGAGGCTTCCTGTAGTATGAGTCTATATGCAGTGAGGGGCCGTATGGTGAGAAATTACTGGGCTGTGTGTGTACTGGGGGGCTGTGTGTGGTAAGAGGCTGTGGTGGTGATGGGCTGTGTGGCGGTGGGCTGTGTGTGTACTGTGGGGGCTGTGTAGGGTAAAAGGGCCAGCCAAAGAAACCCACCCTGTCCCTGAAGCCAGAGCCAGTGAAAGAAACACACCCTGACCCTAAAACTAGAGCCAAAAGGCTGAAAAGGGCCAGTGAAAGATTTCATGGGAGGCCCTTTTTAGCCTTTTGACCCTGAAACCAGAGCCAAATCTGTCCCTGACCAACTTGAGCACAAAACCAACCAATCCCTGAGCACAAAATCGACCCAATCTGAGTTTATCCAAACTCAGGGATTGAAATCCAACCAATTCTCACCCTGAAAAATCTTCTCCCTGGAAAACCCCACCGCTAAGAAGCCCTGGGTAAGCCCTGTACCTGTTCAGTTGGCTGCTGCCCTTTTCAGCCCTGGCAGAGGCAGCCACCCTCCCGGATTCTTCCCTCCAGATAAATCTCTTGACTGAAGTTTGGGAGCCGACCTTCTTCTGCCTTGCGGGAGCAGAGTTGGAACCTGGGTGGAGCGGAGCAGAGCAGAGCAAGGCTGTATCACTTTCGCTGGTGAAAACTTCCCTTAGCAGAACAGAGTTCTTACACTCTGGGAACCTGAACAGAACCGTAACAACTTTGCTGGGGAAATCCTCCCCTTCCCCGGGCAGAGTTGTTACCTTGGGGAAACCTTTCCCTGGAGCAGGGCTGTAAACCGCTACACTTTCAGTGACGTGTGGTATGTATTCCTTGGCTCCCGACTGTCAGGATCCCTTTCCATCCGAGCTGCAATGCTTGCTTACAGGTTGGGTGTGGTGAGGGTCTATGCGCCAGGGCTGAGGGGTGAGGGACTGTGTACGCTATTTTCTGCACCTGTCTGAGTATACCACCCTTGCTCCTCTCCTGGTCCTGGTCCTGGCTCTCCTGCTCAGTGGGAAGCTCACTCTCTGAAACTAGATTCTAGAGGTTGGAAGAGATGCTGAAGCCCACCAGGTGTGATCTCCAAAAGCAAAAGTCTCAGGGAAAGCCGGACAGTGGTGGTGCACACCTTTAATCCCAGCACGCGAGAGGCAAGGGCAAGTGGATCTCTGAGTTCCAGGCCAGCCTGGTCTACAGAGTGAGTTCCAGGACAACCAGAGTACACAGAGAAACTCTGTCTCCAAAACAAAACTAAATAATAGTCATAATCTCAGGGGAGAGGTCTCTGGTTTTGCAACTGGGAGGAGAGGAAGGAGGGCAAGTTGTGGTTGGGATGTAATATATGAGAATAAATTAAAATTAAAAAGTACATATTCCTGGACTTTGCCCTTGAATTTCCTCCCATTCATTCTAGGAAAAGGCATAGAGATCTGCATTTTTTTTTCTTTTTTTCTTTCTCTTTCTTTCTTTCTTTTTTTTTTCTTTTTTCTTTTTTTTTTTTTTTTTTGGACAGGGTTTCACTGTGTAGCCTTGGGCTGTCCTGAAACTCCCTCTGTAGACCAGGCTGGCCTCAAACTCACAGAGATCGGCCTGCCTCTGCCTCCCGAGTGCTGGGATTAAAGGCATGTGCCACTATGCCAGGCCACCTGCAGAGCATTTTCAACACCTGAGAAGATCTCACTGATTTGTTTACTGTGCCCCACCCCGACAAGACCAGAAGCTCCAAGAGGTTGGGGGTCTTGCTTTGGATAATCCCATGTCTTAGGCCCAGCAACATGCCTGCCAAGTGCTAGTTCTGTATATTTACCAAATGACTACACGGGCCTGGGCTTGGTTTCTTTTAAACTTGGACCCCCCACTCTGTCCCGGTCCCTATCTTCTGCCGCCTCCACCTCAGCCCCCCACCCCACCCCAATGGCTCTCCAGGAGCTGAAGGGGAAGCAGCCACCACGGAGTGATCTCACACCCTTGCAGATGCCCACCACCTGAAATTCTGCTCCAACATAACGTGGGGAAGTGGGAAGGTAGCTGTTCCCAGCTGGAGAGCTGGTGGGGATCCTCCGTTAACATCTCACCCCGAGAAATACTCATCTGGCAAGCATCCCGTAGCCCACAGCCCAGCTGCCTGAAACATCAAGACGGTGTCATAGAAACACAGGGATCTCACATCTGACGATCTTGCCCTGAACTTACAGGATGAAAGGTTCATCCTGGGCAGTGACAGCCACTTGGAGAGATCACCCTTGGAGAGAAAGAATAGGTGCTTCTCCCCCTGCTGCTGAGGAGCCAGCAAGGTACACAGTCGTCCCCACCTCAACCTCAGTGTCAAGTGGTGGCCCCTCTGCACCTGCGCTCTTGGGTTAAAAAGACTGAAGACCACCAGTCGAGGTGGTACACACCTTTAATTCCAGCACTCAGGAGGCAGAGGCAGGTGGATTTCTGTGAGTTTGAGGCTAGCCTGGGCTACAGAGCAAGTTCTCAGACAGCCAGAGCTACACAGAGAAACCCTGTCTCAAGAAACAAACAAACCCTTTCTGAGGAAATTATTTCCTGCTTCCTGCATTAGCTAGGACCTTTGGGACAGCATGTGACTTCTCCCTGCAACCCCAGGACAGGGGTGGGCAGAAACAGATGAATCCCGGGGGCTCACTGAGCAGCCCATCTATCTGAAACAGCTCAAGGGTCATTGAGAGGCACTGTCTCAATAGGAGGAGAGCAATAAAAGAGGATGCCTGATGTCCACCTCTGACATCCACATGCCATGCACACATACACATGAGTGCACCTGCATAGATGTGTGTGCATACACAGGCATACACACACACACACACACACACACACACACACACACACACACACACACACACAGGGGGGAACCAGAGGAAAGTGCCTGTGTTGAGCCTATCCACTCCCCACTCAGGGTCCCACTACAGCCTGTTTATTGAGAGATGCCCTGATGTGTACTAAAGCCCCAAGATACAGAGCAGAGCCCACTAGATTAGGTCTGATAATAGAAGTATTTGAGGATTGTGTCTCACTATGTAGTCCAAGCCAGCCTCAAACTTGTGATCCTCCTGCCTCAGCTTCCTCCACGCTGGGATGTCAGGCATGTACCCACACATGCTTCCTCCCACTGCTGCTTCCCTTCTTGCTCAAAACTTTACTGGGCACCTGATGTAAATGTCGTGACAGGGAGATATTCTAAAGAGATGCTTGTGCCCTCCCTTAGATGATCAGACGACGGAACTGGTTCCCAGGGGCCTCATGCTGGGAGAAAGAGAAGGCTGAAGCCTGGTGTCTGCTAGAGGCATCTTCCAGGAAGAGATTTCACACAGCTCTGATAGCTTCTCAGGCTACCTTGCAGGGGAGACAGCTAAGATCGGCGGAGGGCAGGACCACATCTTTGACAGGATGGCTTAGTGATGCATACTCCTACTTTCTCTAAACCTCTTGTTAGCATCATGGAGGAAGGCCGGGAGCTACTGGATCTCCTGTTTGTTCCTTATTGAATACATTGTCCCTTGCTTTTCACTAGAACTTGTCTCATAGGCTTGTTGAGGACAGGTGGTCAAGGCTAGCTCCTTAAAGCCACCAGGGCCAAGGACGGGTGGTCAAGGCTAGCTCCTTAAGGCCACCAGGGCCGAGTCTTTAACCCTGACAACTCCAGTAATCTACTGTATGCTGCTGGAGAGGCCAGAATGTCAGGTACCTGCCCCCTGGCCTGTCACAACGGCCACTCTGGCTTTAGAGAGAGAAGCCTTGCTCTATATGCCCTCCTGCGCATGCGCTGCATAGCTGAAAGCCGATTGCAACTTCTGAAAGAACTATCCAGAAGTTGAGAGACCTTGAAGGGAATTTAGAGAGGAAAGGGTTGCCTCCTTCTTATACCCCTTGGCTGGACATGAGATCACTTACTGCAGCTTAAAAAAAAAAGGGGGTGCGGGGGAGGAAATAGCAGGATGTCTCAGTGGTTAAAGATGCCTACTGCCGAGACTGCTGATTTGAGTTCAATCTCTGGGGCCCCACATAGTGGGAGGAGAGAACCAGTCCCGGTCCCTGCTGGTAGTCTTCTGACCTCCCTACATGTACCACAGCACAAGTGTGTACCCGCACATACAATCAATCAATCAATAATAAAATTTAATCTAAAAAGAAAGAATAAAATTCCAAGCTGTATTTAAGAAGTCAGGGTAGCTAATGTTTCAAG